GAAAGTTAATTAACAAACGGAGACGTAACAGTATATATATATGTGTGTATATTTTTGGCTGTTGAATATTAAGAATAAAAGGTACTGTTGCGTCAGCGAGTCACATGACTAGTGTGACGCCACGTTTCTAGAACTATCCCGTGCCTTAGCGGGTGCTCTGGTATTTGCTGGATTTAGGGTGGACTGGTGTATAAAAGAGGGTGACAACGTGACGGAAAAATAATGTAATGTGCGTGTAGATAGTGAGTAATTGAACTGCAGTCACAGGGTATTGTTGAAGTTAACGTTCGTTCGTTATAGTGTTTGTTTTAGCGTGAGTATTGAGATTAAGTGTATCGCAGAGTTATATTCGGAAAGAATAAACCAGTTTTATTAAGTAAAGACTTGTGTCATTAAAGTCTCGTTGGAACGAAGTTACGGAAAAAAATCAATTAACAAACGGAGACGTAACAGTACATTGTACTGCTTCAAAAACACCGAATAATATTACTGGTAAATAAAATACTGTTACGCCTCCAGTCGTTAGTTAAGTTTCCGTAACTTCGTTCCGACGAAACTTTAGCGACACAAGTCCTTTCTTTATAAAACTGATTTATTCTTTCTGAATACAACTTTGCGATACACTTAATTTCAACAGTCGCGCTATAACAAACGTCTCACGTGCTCGGTCTCAACAATACTCAATTACACACTCTCTGACTGCATTGTTGTTACTGGTTAGTAAAATATTAACAGTGGCTATATGTTCTTTTATAAAAGAAATAATGACATTACTGGTAAGTAAATTTTTAACAGTGTCTATATGTTTCTTTATAAAAGACGATATTGTTACTGGTAAGGAAAATACTAACAGTATATATAAAATATCATTTATATCTTTATAAAAGACAGAATGATATTACTGGTAAGTAAAATACTAACAGTGTCTATATGTTCTTTTATAAAATACAGAATGATATTAATGGTAAGTAAAATACTAACAGTGTCTATATATATATTCCTTTATAAAAGACGTTATTACTGTTAAGTAAAATATTAACAGTGTCTATATGTTCCTTTATGAAAGATGATATTGTTACTGGTAAGGAAAATACTAACAGTGTCTATATATATTCCTTTATAAAAGATGATATTGTTACTGGTAAGGAAAATACTAACAGTATATATATATATATATATATATATTCCTTTATAAAAGACAGAATGATATTACTGGTAAGTAAAATATTAACAGTGTCTATATATATTCTTTTATAAAATACAGAATGATATTACTGGTAAGTAAAATACTAACAGTGTCTATATATATTCTTTTATAAAATACAGAATGATATTACTGGTAAGTAAAATACTAACAGTGTCTATATACATTCTTTTATAAAATACAGAATGATATTACTGGTAAGTAAAATACTAACAGTGTCTATATACATTCTTTTATAAAATACAGAATGATATTACTGGTAAGTAAAATATTAACAGTGTCTATATGTTCCTTTATGAAAGACAGAATGATGATACAGGTAAGAATTTTTTAACTATGTTTATATATATTTTTAATATAGTTAACTGTGAGGGAAATATTCAAGTGGATTAATAAATTTCTCAGTGGAGAGAGGATAATGTTATTGTTGGCATTACTGACAATGGACTTACCCAGTGAGCACAGAGTAGTTTATTGTTAATGGATTAAAACAATAATATGACATTTCAAAAACATTAAGTAATATCTTTTTAATAAAAACAAGAAACAGATAGTAGCATATTTAATGAGAATAGATTAAAGGAACAGTATGGTGATAAAAATCACTGAAGTTCCTGACAATGTATATTTTTTTATGAACACAGTTTTTTAGTTGAAAAATATAATTTCTTGTAAACAATGCAATACTATATTGTGGAAATACAAAAAAAAGAATATAGTAAACATATCTTTCATAAACAAAGAACATTTATTGCTATATCAACTGTTCAAATATACACAGTAAAAGTATGAATATTATGTAACATAAGCATGTTTTCTTACAAAAATTTTAAAAATGAAACTTTTTACCATGATGTTATCTACAGGATTTAAATATGTTGTTGCTAATACACTAGTATGATGTGATCTGCAGGATTTAAACAAGTTAATGATAGTCCACTACCATGATTTTATCTTCCAGATTTAAATATGTTGGTGCTAATCTGATATCATGATGTTGTCTGTAGGATTTAAATATTCTGGTGCTAATCCACTAGTACGGTGTTATCCACAACTTACACATGTTGGTGCCAATCCACTAACTTCACATTACAACTCAAAACTGTACATTAAAGTCCAATATATATATATATATATAATACAATAAACAAGATATGATCGTTTTACATATGAAACTCACAAATAAGTTATCTCAACAGAAAATGTTTCTTCATTTTTATCTTTTTCGTTGTTGATAAACACCAAAACTTCCTCCGTGTTTGGCTGATGCTGTGGCAAGAAAGCTAGCCCAATCATGCGAGTCTCACCCGGCTGTAGATTAAACGGCTTATCCAGAGGTTGTACAAGGTCAGGTCGGCTGCAGTGGACACTAAACATCTTGGGCACAGTGTAAGGATTTTTGTAAGAGATCCGCTACAAAAAGAAACTATGGTAAAACACTAAGATATGTTACAAGCAATGTACTATTATTACAGTTATCAAGGCACAGAATTCAGTGTGCTAGTCAATGCTAGAAAATGTGCTTTCAGTTAATTATATATTTGTGACTGTTTCAAAGAAAATATTCAAAATAATGTCTTTTTTTTTTTTTTACTAGTATTATTTTTTCTTAACTTACAATTATTTTTATACTAGTGTTAGTTTTATACATTTGAATATGGTATTATACATGAAATTAACAGATCCCAAAAGAAACATTAAACTTTATGATAAAAACAAGAAGATAAACATGCAAAGTTTCAAACAACATTAACACTTAATAACTGCATGTAACAAACTACATAGAATCCATAAGGAACATGTTAGCTAAGAAAAAGAACATATACATGTTAGTAGAACACCACAGTCCTTAGAGTAAAGAGAACAGGTACATATTACTAAAAGATGAATCAACAATTTGTTAAAACAACATAATGTTTAGGGAGAATAAGGGTCCTATTGGTCCATCTTGGCTGTCCCATCTTCTAAACTAAACTAAAACTATTATATGAATAAATTTTAAAAAATCTTAATACCAGCCCTTATCATTCATATACTTTTCAAGCTTTCTTTTAAACTCACTTAAATTTACTGCCTCCACAACATCCGATGGCAACCCATTACAGAGGCCAACCACCCTGTTAGAAAAATAAACTGTCTTAGCTGAAGATGACTCCTATCTTGCCAAAATTTATATTTGTGTCCCCTAATCCTACTATTCTCGCCACTAAATATGAAAAAAGATAATGCATAAAACTATCAGTTCCCTTTACAATTTTAAACATCTCAATCAAATCCCCCTCTAACTCTTCTTTTTCAAGAGAAAACAATTTCAAAGATCTTAATCTCTCCTCATACCACAAATCTTCCATCCCAAGCACCAGTCTAGTAACCATCCTCTGAATCATTTTCAACAAATCAATGTCCATCCTAAGATAAGGAGCCTAAGACTGAACATAATACTTCAAATGTGGCCTAACCAGTGACCTACACAATGAAATTATAGCATCTTTAGACTTATCAATATTTCTGTAGATACAACCTAAAATCCTATTTGCCCTACCATTAGCAACAGCACACTGCTTGGATGGCTCAAGAAACTCATCAACCATTACACCAAGATCCTTTTCTTTTATGACACTGTTAAGGTTATTCCCATCCAAATTATACTTACAAATCAAATTATGATAACTCATATGCATTATTTTGCATTTATTATAATTAAAACCCATATGCCATTTATTTGTCCAACTCACTATATGATCTAAATCCTTTTGTAAGGAGCAGCATCCTCTTCCCAGTTACCAACACCCAAGACCTTAATATCATCTGTAAATATAAGTAATTTACTGACCATTCCTTCATCTATCTCACTGATGTAAATAAAAAAGAGCAAAGGTCCTAATACTGAACCCTGAGGTATCCCTCTTGTGACATTAATTCAGTTTGACTGAACTCCATTTGTAAAACCCCTTTGCTTTCTTCCATCCAGCCACACTTCTATCCAATTAGATAACTTATCCCCCACACCTATAGAGATTTTTTACAAGCCTTTTATGTGGCACCTTGTCAAGGGCTTTCTGAAAATCCAAATACACCAAATCTACACACTTACCCTCATCTACATAAGCAGTAACCCTCTCAAAGAGCAATGATCACTTGCACCCAGATGTTCCACAATTACCACCCTCTCAATCATTTCTATATTAGAAGTTAACAATAAATCTAAAATAGCAGTTTCTAGTAGGTTCCTTGACTAATTGGTGAAGAAAGCCATCTTGAACAGTTTCCAAAAAACACTCTCTCTCATGATTTGGCTAGCATTTTTCAATTTGTATGCCTGAAATTAAAATCACCAATAATTATGACCTCATCAATAGCTAAAATCTTAATCTCTCTGTAACATTTATCCCTAATTTCATCAGTATCATTTGGTGGTCTATAACAAATTCCCACTGAAAGTATTTTCCCTTTATATCCACTAATAGAAACCCAAATGGATTCAATCTCTTTGTTGTAATCTTTGATATTCTCAACTTCTACAGGATGCAACTCACATTTTATATATAAAGCCACTCCTCCCCCTCTCTTTAGTACTCTATATCCATACTAAATAACCTGTAACCCTGTATTTACACTTAACTATGTTTCAGTTATTCTCATTATATCAAAATCCTCCATTCCTACCAGTGCCCTAAAGTAATCTATTTTATATCTTATATACTTCTAGCATTACAATATCTATACTCATTTCCTATGCTAAACTTTTCTCTACATCTTTTTTTTTACATTTAGTTTATCCTGGCCCTCACCACTGTCTAGTCCTAGTTTAAATCTTCCCTTACAGCTGAGTTAATAGCTTTAGCAAACAAGTTAGATGCTACCCTATTTGAATGTAAACCATCCATTCCAAAAAGTTCCCTTTTCCCATTGAACTGATCCCACAAATCCAATCAGCTAATCTGCTCATCCTTACATACTAACCTAAGCCTGGAATTTAGCCCTAGTGAAATACTCATAATTTCATCTCCAAAATTAATTTTCGGCAGTATCTCTGACACGTTTAAGTTATGGCCTTTTTCTTTAAATGCCTTCACCAACCCTTTGTACTTATTAATTAACTCCTCTGACCTACTTTTCCCTACATCATTAGCTCCTACATGCACAACTAAAAACTGCATCACTGCTAGCCCCTTTTATTACATCTCTTGCTCTGTCAGTTATATCCTCCACCTGTGCCCCTGGGTAACCATCTAATTATTTTCTCCCTATTTACCCCACAGACTATCCTATCCACGTGCCTTGTCAAGGAATCACCTATAACTTTCTTATGTTTATCATCCACATCCTTCTCTGACCCTTTTGTTTCCTTCCCTCCAATAGTTCCTCATTACAATTAAATTCACTACTTTTAGCCCTAATAGTACTCTTTCTAACTTCCTGAAAGTCATTGTTAACTGATGTATTCTTTGCATGTAAAAACTGAAGCTACTCTTGAAATTATGTTGCCATTTTCCACAGTCTACACTTCTCTTTATCTATTGTATCTACTTTAATTGGGATAGCCTCCATCTTCTTCTTCAGCATACAAAGTCTACATACCAGTCTAGAGTTCCCAAATAAATCCCACTCAATGCACCCAACACACCTTACAAACTGTGAACACTTAACTCCAACACTAGTCTTAATCATTGTATTTATAGCCTGCAAATAAATACTCAATACTAAATAACAGTAGCCTGTTGCTAACATTGTTAAGCCTAATGTTTTACAATCAAACGTACTTCATTATATAGAGTTGTTTAAACATTTGTTTAACAACAAGTAAAAGCTTTTACTTGTTGTTAAACAAATGTTTAAACAACTTTACTCAATTATGTACCAGCTGCCCAGTGTCGGCT